CCCCAAAACCCCAAAACCCCAAAACCCCAAAACCCCAAAACCCCTCTTAAATAAGAAAACGTGGAAATAATAATACTTAAAATAATGGCCGACGGTGGACTTATAGCAATAAAAATTGTATTTATAGTACTCATCTTTGTGATGGCCTTTGTTTCTGGAATATTGCCAACAATAATCCCTTGGTGTAAGAAGAGTGCAGATGTATTAGGAATAGCCAACGCTTTCAGTGGAGGAGTATTTCTTGCAATTGCTTTCCTCCACATTTTGCCAGAGACTACACATGAGTTTGACGAATTCATGGAAGACCATGACCATTCTGAATACCATGTTGACTGGCTTAGACACGGAGACGAGGAGGAGAACTTCCCTCTTCCATTTGCTCTAGCATTCGTCGGTTATGCCTTTATCCTTCTCATTGACAAAGTTATTTTCGATACTCATTCTCTTATGGGAGATCATGGTCATGCTCACGGTCATAGCCACGGAGGAAGCCCCGAGCAGCATCTTCTCCCAGAAGGAAGGAAGCACAGAAAGGAAGATTACCAAAAATTGCTTAGTGACGCAAGCGGATGTAACGACTGAATCAACAGCTCTGAAATAGTTGAGGATGAGGACACTAACAGAATTCAGACTAAATTTGTTGCATGAATGGATCACGCTCTCAACAAGAGTGACAGACTTCAGAAATCGAAGAGTGGCACCTTCTCGCACAATGATGATGGTCTTGAAGGCGAGCAGGAAGATATGTTTACTGATAAAACTAAGATACGCTTAGAAAATGAAATAGAAGAGAGAGGCAAAAAGGGGCGTTGCTCATGAAATTTAACTCCAATTGTCTTAATGATAGCACTTAGTGCACACTCAGTTTTTGAAGGCATCGCAACTGGAATGATAAAAGATACCAGCAAATTATGGACGTTTGTTATAGCCATTACTGCACATAAGTGGGCTGCTGCAATGTCACTGGGAATTAGCATGGCTAAGAACTTCAAGAACCAGACTGGGACAATGTATATAATCCTTACAATCTTTTGATTTGCGACCCCACTTGGAATCTTAATTGGGATGATTGTCTCAACTCAGTCCGTGATTGTCAATATAATCTTTTCTTCCTTGGCTGCAGGCACTTTTGTGTACATCGCTTGATCAGAAGTAATCGTAGAGGAATTTGCAATAAACAAGTATAAATGGATCAAAATGGTGACCTTCTTACTCGGAGCAACACTAATTGTCCTTCTTGGGCTTTTAGAATAGAATAGAATTGTGGGATAATAAAGCGGTTTTGCATCAAATGTTATCAATTTTTGAAAGAAATATGGGGTTTTGGGGTTTTGGGGTTTTGGGGTTTTGGGGTTTTGGGG